CTTCAGCGAGTAGTCCGGGTCCCGCATCCGCCCCACGGCCGACGCGACGTGCTCCCACGAGGTGCGCTGGCCGCGCATGGCCCACGCGAGCGCGCGGTCGCTGGTGGGGTCGCCGTCCACCACGACCTGGAGGCACAGAAGACTGCACACTCGCAAGGCTTCGGAGCTCTGCGCGGATCTCTTGGATCTGCGCCGGAGCCACCTCCCTGGAGGATGAGCGGCAGGGGCAGTCGCGGGAGGACGCCCCCATCCCCTGCAGGAGGAGCGGGAGAAGGTCCCCCCCCGGGGGGGGTCAGAGTAGATAAGGTCGGAGCATCGCGCCGCATCGTCGATGCATCGCCCCTGCACCGGCGATGCATCGGTGACGTCGACGTGAGACGATCGGGCTCCACGTCGAGGCACATCGCAGATGCATCGGCGATTCGGCGCTCGCGAACGCGCGGTCGCTGTGATGAGATCGCCGTCCGCCAGGGCCTGATGGACCCTGCCGATCCCGGCCCCTCCTCCTTCCTCCTCCGCCTCCGCCTCCGCCTCCGCCTCCGCCTCCTCCTCCTCCTCCGCCTCCTCCGCCTCCATTCTTTTTCTTACATCAGCAAGATTATATATACACAAGAAAAATCACCCTGTCGCACCCCGAGGCAAGTTGTTAGGGTGGGCCGTGCGTTTGGCCTGAGACTTCCTTACAATAAATAACCTTGAAGCAACAACAATCGATCCCAGCTTCACACATGTGCAAGAGTTCTTAAACAATCCTTGTGACGATTTCAAGAGTTTGACGGATTGAGGGCGGGTCGTGTTGAAAAAAGCGTCTCTCGCCTTAGCGCCGCGCATATCCGTTTCAAAAGTTTGCAAGAATTTCTTGAATTGAGGGCGTGCTGTGTTCAAAATCTGGCTCTCGCCTCAGCGCCGCGCACAGTAGTTTTAAATTGCTCAAGAGTTTTACGGATTGATGGCGGTTGTTGTTCACGATGTGGTTCTCGCCTTAGCGCTGGGCACTTTCACTTAAAACTTTGCAAGAGTTTCACATCTTGAGGGCAATTGCTTTTCAAAATGTGGATCTCGCCTACGCGCAGCGCATATCCGTTGGATTACGGATTCCCACCATCAACGTGCCAGAAAGAGTGGTGTGAAAGGATTCAGGATTATGAGGGTGCAACATTTACGTTGATTCGCTGTGTCGAAAGCCCAGGAATTGCGTTCTGGCAAGATCCAAGATCGTCAAGACGCAACAGTCAAGTTGATCCGTGGCGTTGGAATCCCAGGAACAATGTCTTGGCATGCTTCAGGGTCTTCAAACGGATTTCCTCCAGCGAGGCAGTCCCCGGTGGAAATGAAACGTTGTAGAGGCCTATGAAGAGGGAGCTTGGAGGGAGGGTTCATTCCAACATAGTTGATGACTCTTGGGTTTACACTGGTCCTCCTCCTCCTCCTCCGCCTCCTCCTCCTCCGCCTCCTCCTCCTCCGCCTCCTCCTCCTCGTCCTCCACCTCATACTCCCCCATTCCGTCCTCCTCCGAGAGCGGGCCAACTGGCCGGATGTCCGCGGGCCAGAGCTGGATTCATGTCAAGGCCAAGGCGCAGTGGATACGGTCAAACATCTAGCCTCTAGTGGCCAGACTGCCATCCATGTTCACTGCGCCGCAGGTGTTTCGGCAGGGTAGCCCAGAACTCTAAGATGCAGCGGATCCATATACACATCGTGCACGCAGTGTCTAGAGGGCTCCCAGATGGGGTCCGAGCAGATGGGGTCGGAGGATCGCGCCGCATTGCCGATGCATCGAAGATGCATCGGCGACATCGGCGGTGCATCAGCGACACCGACGTGGAGAAAATGGGGCTCCACATCGGGCCGCATCGCCGATGCATCGGCGATGCGGCGCGATCTTCCGACCCCACCTGCTCAGACCCCATCAGGGAGGCCTAGAATGTCAGGATCAGGGCTCGACCAAGACAGTGCTTACTCATTTTCGGTTTGTTGTCGCGTTCCCTCGTGCTGTCTCCGATCCACCTCAGCAGCAGGACAACATCAGAACGAGGACGGCCCACGACATCGCCAAAACACCGTTTCGGCCGAGCCTGGTCGGGGTCCTCCTTCTGAGGGTGCTAATGGGGGGTGGCTCAAATGGTTGGTCCCCCCCATTACCACCCGCACGATTCTCGGCCCTTTCCCTTCCCCAGGGAGCCGCCCCCCGCGGCCTGGGGGAACAGGTAATTTGGCAGGAACGGCCGGTAACCCCGCAGGCTGCCGTGCAGGCGGGCCAGCGGCTCGACGACAGGGGACTGGGCGCAGTCGCACCTCGAGGGCGGGGAGGACGCAGGGCGTGGGCAAGTGTTGTATGCATATCCACTGCGTCTTGCAGGATCAATATCCATATCCACGGGCCCAAATTTGTATCCGAATCCACGCACGACGATCGCAAAACGGCACGGGTGCCGGTTGCACGGGCCAAGAGTTCCCCGCCGAGTTCTAGATTGGCACGGCCTTCGGGCCGATCGGGAGTAGCGTAGCGTATCCACCGCGTCTTGGGGCTTCAGGGCCCCCCCCCGAAGCCAGAGGTGCGGTGGATGTACGGACGGAGCACCTGGCCCCCACGGGCAGATGTGCAGCTGCATCCCCTGCGAGTAAGGCCTTGTGGCGCCCCTCTCCGAGGACGTGCAACGCACCGTGGACATGTATATATCGGCGATGGACAAACCTCCCTTTGGTAAACCTCCCCTTGGTGAACACGGCCTGGGGCCGAAACCGACGGACCTGGACCCGCGAAAAGGACGGCCGCGGCGCCCTCTCGCGAACCGAAAACGGCCAACTCCTCAATCGACGCGTCGGGGTAGGAAGTCCGCCCAACCCCAACATGCAACATCCGGCCCGCACAGGGAGCGCACGCACCGCAGAACATCAAGACGGAGGCGTGTGCTCCGCCCTCTTGCGGCATCCAGAGGCCCTCGGCCCGCCCGGGGAGGAAAAGCCCGGTCCCCGGGCCTGGGTCGAGGCTTCTCGAGACGCCGTGCCGAAACATCGGGACATCGTGTGGTCCAAGGGCGCCAAAGGTCCGACGAGCTGTGTGGTTCTGTCCGCGCGCTCTCTCCTGACGTCGGCCTCCTGGGGTTATGTTTCCCCCATCGTGCTTAAGGACCACATCGTGCTTAAGGACACATGAAAATAAGCAAACAACAATAAAAAAGTAGTCCTAAAATACTTTCCCTGAGCTCGTCGAAGCTCCCCCCTTTCCCAGGGACCTCCTCAGCGCGCGAGCCAAAGCGAAGTTGAGCAACGTCGTAATTGAGTCGAAGGGAAGCCCCTTCCCTTCGATCCCTCCCCCGCCGGGGGGGGGTCCCCGGGGGGGTCCCGGGGGGAAGTCCCGAGGGGGGTCTCGGGGGGGGGGTCAGATACGACGCCCCCCCCGGGAAGTCCCGGAGCCCAAAACAGCCCCAAAACGGGCCACGAGCGCCCAAAGAGGCCCACTAAACAGTCCTAGAGAACCCCGAATCGCCGAACGATCTGTCCAAGACACCTTGACGGTCTCCCAACGGCCCAAGAGGCCTGCAAAGCGCCCCAAGAGGCCCCAGGAGCTTTCCCACGAGAGCCCCAAGAGGCAAAATCCATTGATTTCCCATACGTTTTTGAAAAGTGTTGGCATTCTTGCCTCTTCCGCTTCCCGACGCGCCAAGACGGCCCAAGAGGCCCCCAAGATCGCCCCGAGACGGCCCAAGAGGCCCCCAAGAGGGTCCCCTAACGGCCGAAGAGGGCCCCAAGACTGCCCAAGACGCCTCCAAGACGGCCCAAGAGTCCCCCAAGGCGGCTCCAGGAGAGTGCCCAGACGCGGGACCAGAACGGACATTTCGAGCTCTCAGCCCCAAGAGGCCCCCAAGAAGCCCCGAAGAAGCCCCAAGAGGCCCCAAAAGGCTCCAAAGGGGCCCCCTAAACTACCCCAAGACAGCCCAGGAGAGCCCCAAATTGCCCAGGAGGCCTCCAAGAGTGCTTCGAGACGGCGCAAGAGGAGCCCTAGACGACCCAAAACGGCCTCAAGAGAGCCCTAGGCTGTCCCAAGAGAGCCTCTGGCCTCCTCCTCCTCCTCCTCCTCCTCCGCCTCCTCCTCCTCCTCCCCCCTCTGCTCCCCCTCCTCCTGCTCTCCTCTGCCTCCTTCTCCTCTTCTTGCTTCTCCTCCATATCCTTCTCCGTTCTCCCTCCACCTCATCCCTCATCCACCTCCTCCTCCTCCCCCTGCCCCCTTCGTTTTTCATCTTCGTCGTTCTCAGGGTCGGCGGCACCGGCCGTGATGCCTTCGCATTAAAAAAGATCAAAACACAATCAACAAATAGTCCAAACATAATCAGAAAATCGTCTCCTGACTATTTTCAAGCTATATATGAACTAGAACCACGCGCGCGCTTCGCGCGCGCTTAGGTTCTAGCTAGGAGGCGAGCTTGAGTCAACGAAAGTCGCAGGAAGGGGGCAGGGGGAAGAAGGCCAGAGAGCGCTGAAGGATACAAATACTGGAACCCTCTTGTGATTTTGTGGGGGGCCTCGTCCGGCCGCTCGCTGGGAGTTTGACGTAGCTTCTCGGGAGCCTCTGAACCTGTCGGGGGCCTCCTGGAAGCAGGTTCGAAGCATTTTGGGGGCCGATTTGGGGCTTCTCGGGGCCTCCTTTGGGCCTCTTGGGGGTCTCCTGGGGCCTCTTGAGGGGCCTCCTTGGGGCCTCCTGGCGGCCTCTTGGGGCGGAAGGCTCGAGCTTGCGGTTCGTGGTCCCCCTCTGGGCCCCCTCTTGGGCCCGTCTTGGGGCCCTCTTGGGCCATCTTGGGCGCCTCTTGGGCCGTCTTGGGGCCCTCTTGGGCTGTCCTGGGGCCCTCTTGGAAGCTTCTTGGGCCGTCTTGGGGCGGTCTTGGAGGCCTCTTGGGCCGTCTTGGACGCGGTGAAAGCCCAAGATGCGAACATGCGAAAAATATACGTTTTCCCATAGGAATGGCACGATGTTTGTTTCTTGGACCTCTCTTGGGGTGCCTCTCGGAACGTCTTGGGCTGATTTTGGAAGCCTTTTGGCGCCTCTGGGCGGCGTTTTGGCGCCTCCTGGGATATGTTGGGCCGGAAGCTCGGAATTCGAGAGTGGCTTTCTCCTTCTGGGACCCCTCTCGAAGTCGTCTTGGGGTTCTCTTGGGCCGTCTTGGGGCCGTCCTGAGCCACTCGTGCGCAACCTTGGAGCGCTCCCGGAGGCCTCCTAGGCCGTCTTGGAGGCCTCTTGGGCCGTCTTGGACGCGGTGAAAGCCCAAGATGCGAACATGCGAAAAATATACGTTTTCTCATAGGAATGGCACGATTTTTGTTTCTTGGACCTCTCTTGGGGTGCCTCTCGGAACATCTTGGGGTGCTTTTGGGAGCCTTTTGGCGCCTCTTGGCGGCATGTTGGCGCCTCCTGGAGCCTCTTGGGCCGGAAGCTCGGAATTCGAGGTTGGCTTTCTCCGTCTGGGACCCCTCTCGAACTCGTCTTGGGGCTCTCTTCGGCCGTCTTGGGGCCGTCCTGGGCCACTCGTGCGCAGCCTTGGAGCGCTCCCGGAGGCCTCGTAGACCGTCTTGGGCGCCTCTTGGGCCGTCTTGGACGCGGTGAAAGCCCAAGAGGCGAACATGCGAAAAATATACGTTTTCCCATAGGAATGGCACGATTTTTGCTTCTTGGGCCTCTCTTGGGCTGCCTCTCGGAGCGTCTTGGAGGCTTCTGGGACCTTCTTGGTGTCATGACAGGCGTCTTGGAAGGCATCTGGAGCCATCGGAGCGCGTTCCGAAGCCGCCTGCGAACGATCTTGGACGGCGTCCGGCGGTCCGACGAGCCTCCGGGCCCCCCGGGGCCCACATTTGTGGTCGAGGTCCCGGCCCCGGGCCCCCGGACCCGGTGCGCCGTTATATGTATATTTCCATCCTGCAAAGGGACAGGCCCGACTGAAACGTAAATGGATACGGCGGATCGGACCGCATCGCCGATACATCGGCAATGCGGCTCGACGCACCGAACCCATGAGCTCGGGCTCCATCTGGGCGGCCTCAGTCTCGAATGATCCTCCTCCCCATCCTCCTCCCTGACATCCTCGCGTCGTGTGTGGCCGTCCTTCGGTCTTACGGAGGCCCTGGCCAGAGCCCCAAGGCCGCCAAACATCGAACGCACAGCTCGGAACGAGAGTCCGGTTCCCTGGGAAGGCGTTCAGACGCTGTGATCCAAGACATCGGATGTCAGGACTCCCTACCCCCTCTACCCAGGGCGTCCATAAGGAGGGGGGGGCGTGCAAGACGGGGGGGGGCTTACATTATGGCTGGCGGCATGTGCGCGGCGCCAGGGACGCATCGAAACAAGAAGAGGCGCCATGAAATCTGAGGAGATAGCATGGCCCCCGCCATTCTATCCAAACCTTCTACAGTCGACCCGTATCATAAGGCACGATGATGCATGGGCCTTGGGGCCGTCTCGAAGCTTTTCGGGCGTGGCGCGGCCAGCGAAAGTGGCCAGGGGTGGGCCGAAGGGGCAAGGATGGAAGGGCACCCTTGGGAAAATTGCCCATCCTTACCATGCGGGTTGACTGTAGGCTTAGGTCGGGAATGTCCTCATGCAGGCGGACTCTGGAGGACAGCTCAAACATAGTCAATGTTTGATATAAAGAAAATAAATAAGATAAGAACCGTCTGCAGACTATGTTTGAAATATGTTTGGATATTCGTCCTGACAAGGTAGAAGCTCGACTGAACTGTAGTCATCCCACCACTCTTGGCCGCCCCCGACGTTCCCTCCGCCGCCCCATCCTAACACTGCGAGGGACGCCCACCCTGCGTTGCCACAGCTGGACTTAGGTCGGGTATGTCCTCCTACACGCGGATGTCGGGGAAAGAATGGAACAATAGTTGAAAACATATTCACAAATAATCCAAAACAAAAGCATAGAACAATAGTTCCCATACTATGTTTTGACAACCCTTGAATACTTCCCCTGTAAAGGGACACATCCGACTCAAAGCTGGACGCGGACCAGCCGCCGCCGCTTCCCCCCGGCTCTCCAGGGGGAGTGCTCTCTGGTCAGAGCTTCGGGGCGGATCCACGGGGGAACAAGCATCCCCCCCCCCCTCTCCATTGGGCCGCGATGAATGAGGCCTCCTAGATGGGGTCGGAATAGATGGGGTCAGAGGATCGCGCCGCTTCGCCGATACATCGCGATGCATCGGCGATGCATCGTGGCGCACCGGCGAGGAATCGTCGGCGTTGGCGATGCATCGGCGACGTCAACGTGAAGGCAATCGGGCCCAACATCGAGCCGCATCGGCGGTGCATCGGCGATGCGGCGCGATCCTCCGACCCCATCTACTCCGACCCCATCTAAGAGGCCTAGAGAAGAATGGGGGGGGGCTATACGTGGGGGGTCAGCGAGGGCTGCAGAGAAGGAGGAACTGCAGAGCTCCGCGCGGACTCTCGCATCGGCGCTATAAGGCCCCCCTGCTTCTCCAGGGGTGCGCTCTGGTCAGAACTTCGAGGCGGATCCACTGGGGAACAAACACCCCCCCTCCATTGGGCCGCGAGGAATGGCGGGGGCGATGAAAATGGGGCAGGTCTGCGCTGGATCGGATCGCGTAATCGGATCGGATCGAGAGCGGCTCGAATCGCCAGCGAATCGTCCCGAATCGGATCGGCATCGAATCGCCGCGCCCCGCTTCCGGCTGGCCCTTCTGCCGATGCTGGTGAGCCAGATCGCATAGAATTAGAATCGCCACCCCGGCAGGCGAATCGAATCGCATGAAATCGGATCGTAGGCGGACCTGTGGGGGGTCAGCGAGGGCTGCAGAGAAGGGAGAAAACTTCAGAGCTCCGCGCGGATTCTCGGAACGGCGCTGGGATCCCCCTGCCGCGCGGCGTGCCAGGGAGGGGGGGGCCAGGGCCGATCCGAGACATCCGCGCTCCTGCAATGTTTCTTCGTCGAGTTCATGAGATCCGACGTTGCGAAAAAACGCAACATCGCGAAAGATCACTACCGAAACCCTGGAAACCATCTGTCTGCGGCAGTTTCCGAGCCGGATCGATCTGCGGTGCGCCCAAGGCCAGGCACCGAGCAGGAACGCCCGAAGGTGAAAAAAAACTGACGCCCGGACCTCCAGGATCCAGCATGGGGCGACTGGGGCAGGGTAGCGTCATCGGAATCTCTCCCTCGTCTGCCGCTGGCCATCGCTCGGACGTCCATTACCTGTGTTTTTTGTTTCGGTTTCGTGCGTGCTTTTCTCAGCAAGTGATCAAGGATGCTCCTCGATGGCCCTCGCCGAGAAAAAATGCACACGTCCGAGCGATGCCAGGGTGGCGTCGTCGGAATCTCTCCCTCATCTGCCTTGAGGTCTGAGGAAACGCTTCAGGTGTACAGTCGGGGCGTTGACCCAAGGAACCCGAAATGAGGAACGAGGCCCCTTCTTTCCACGAGTTAAACTTCGATTTCCCATCGAAAGCCCAAGGGAAACCCAAGGGAAGCTGTGAAGCAATCAAGGAACACGGAGCCCCTCCCCAACGAAAAGGAGGGTTCCTTCTTCAGCGCCCCGACTGTAGACTCCTTCCCGAGCCGTTGTTCGACGGTCGCAGGGCGTGGCGAGGGCCCAAAGAGGCCGAGGGCGCCCGGGAGGGTGTGGGGCCGAGGCCAGGACCGTGGACGGAGTTGGTGCACGAGCTCCCGTGAGCCGAGCAGTCTGCGAGGGCAGTGGCACTGGTATTAGGGGGCAAACAAACCTGCCTCGCTTTTGACCACCCTCGCTTCCAAGAGATACCAAGCGATGCCAAACCACGGCCTGTACTGGTCAGGCCACTTGACGAGGAGGCGCGTGGTATGACTTGGTTTTGCCCGGAAGCGAAAGCGGGGTAGGTAATTCACGCTCTGAGGTATGCATAGAGACCCAGGAAATCCTGGGAACTTGGCAACACGTGGCTATCATGTCCTTCTGCTCCTGTTTTTGGAAGGGGAGGGGTCCGCACGCGCGTATCAGCGCGTCCGCCGCGTCGAGGTCGAAGTCCCCGAGCGCACCCGCGATGCGCGACGCGATGGTGAGCGACTCGTCGAGGCGCCTTGCGCACGAGCGTGCCTCCTTCACGTATGACCTCCGACGCCAATCGAGGAAGACATATCTTCAATGACAATGATTTCGAAGATCCACGTCGACTTCTTGGATCTGCGCTGGGCCCCTGCCGGCGGCGCATCCGTCGCCGTCCCATGGCGCGCTCCAGGCGCCAGGGAGGGGGGGCCAGCGCAGATCTGAGAGAAATCCGCGCGGCACTCCCGAAGATTATGATTATGTCGTGTGTTGTTATTCGATCCTCGTCGTCCTCCTGCTCCTTCCCGTTATTTCTCTCAGCAGGGGGGAGGAGGGAGGGATAGAAAGGCAGCTAGACTTCGTAAGACCCACAAGGGGTCCATGGAGCCCAATATGGGGCCACCACGCAGGACTAGCCTAGATGAGCCCAATGACGAAACGAGACTGCGCGGGCTTATGCGGGATCAAGCGGGATTACGCCAAATTCGCCAGAGGTTGCATCCTAAGGGGGGGCGGAGAGCGATGAGGGAGGAGGCCTAACGAGGATGGAGGAGGAGAGGGACGCAGAGGAGAGGGAGGGAGGGCGAGGACACTATTTGCTGGTATTGGTGTCTGGGAATGTTCGGATGGCCTCTTGGTGTTTTCAAACGTGTTCGCCGAGTCTTGGAACGGCTCTGGAGGGAGCAGGACGAAGACGACGAGGGAGGCGGGAGGAGGGAGGGAGGGGGAGGGAGGAGGAGGGAGGGGGGAGTGAGGGAGGGAAGAGGAGGGAGGGAGGGAGGAGAGAGGGAGCAGTCATGGAAAGGCTCTGGAGGGAGGGGGCGGTTGGAGGGAGTGAGGAGGAGGAGGGGCAGAAGGGGGGGGCAGACAGAGGGAGACAGAGGAAGGCAGCCAAAGGAGAAGGAGAGAGGGGGCCAGAAGGAAAAGGGTGACTGGAGGAGGAGGAGGAGAAGGTGAAAGAGGAGAAAGAGGGGGAGGGGGAGGGGGACGGGAGAAAGGGAGAAAAGGAGACTGCAGAACAAACTCAAGATAACACAACGATGCCGTAATAGCCCCGTGCCCCCGATAATGCATCATCCCCCCATTAACCCCGTGAATATTTACCATCCCGTGTCAATGGGACTTAATTATGGAGAGGGGCGGCGAGGCCGAACATGATAATCCCAGGGGGAAGTTGCGAATCGAAGTTGCGAACTAGCAACAGCATCAACAACGCTGAGCATGTCTATGGTGGTCTCACCATTTCAGCTTTCGCAATCACGAGCCGGGCCTGCATGGGCGAGTGGTTCGAGGTCGTGCGCAAGAGAGGTTTCTTAGCCAGGAGCGCAAAGGACCTCTCTCGCGCAGGCCATTTGTCGCCACGAGACTCGATCTAGATCTAGATCAGTCGGGCCAGTTGTGTGCCAAGATCTACAAGGTCAGTCTACACGAGCGCCCAGGATCATCATCATCATCATCATCATCATCATCATCATCATCATCATCATCATCATCATCAGCATCAGCATCAGCATCAGCATCAGCATCATCATCATCCTTCACCGGGAAAATCGTTGATAATCCCCGCCAGACCCCCGAACGTTATTAACCCCCGGGGATTCTGATCGGGGGCACAGGGTTATCCCTTCGCGTCCCCAGGCACCTCCCTCGGGGATGGACAGAACCCCCTTTAGCAAAACGTGGTTTAGTGAAAACGACCACGGGCCCAAATCTGGCGGGCAAAAGCCTGGAAAATAACGGCCACGGCGCCCTCTCGAGAACCGAAAACGGACAATTCACTAATCGACGTGTCACTATTGGGGGTTCTGTCCAGCCCCGACTCCCGAGGACTCTGTGGAAGACCTCCCCCTCACTGCGGAGAGCGCCCCCCCCTCGAAGCACAGAAACCGCCGGGGCCTGCCACTCAAGCGAGCGCCCAGTTTCGAGATGCAGTTGCCATCGGGGTGCGTGAAGGGGCCCAAGGACACACAAATAAGTACACACACACACGCAAGTCCCAGGAATCCACTTATGCTCCATCATTTGTGGGGGCTCGTCCTCCCCCCCGCTTCCCAGATTGTCCTATATTCTCCGGGGGGTTCCACGATTAATGGTGTCTGTGTTTCTTTCCCTCCTGAGTGTGCTCATACAATCCATGGCAAATGCCCAACCAACGACCTGGTTTGAAACAGAGCCGATCTCCAACCTTGCAACAACTGCACAGAATTAGCGCCCTGGGCAGAACACCCGAGTCCGGCAAGACCCCCGTTTTGGGAATATACAGCCATCCGTGACGTTTCGGATCACTACATCCAAGAAGATGCAACAACTAGAGCCCCAACTTGAAGAAGAACAATACCCCCGATCCGTGAATCTGGTGTATACCAGGTCGAAGCCCCACCACTTCTCTGGGCGGAGGTGGCTCAAGGCGCGTGCGTTTCCAACCTCCTTCTCCTTGCTGGATTGGGGGGAGCGCGACCGTTTAGAGCATCAAGGTAGGTGTCTCCTGTATGACCCCATGCAACCCCAGACTGCTTCAACGATGGCGCATGATATCCAAACAATGCTCAACATCGTCTACCCAAGACCGTCCAATGACGGCTCCGAGTGGACACGGAGCCAACCGAAGATGTCACCCAATAAACCAAACACCGTGCAACACCTTACGAAACACCGCCGTGTTGTACATCTCGCGCGTAATTTTCCGAATGGCAAAAGGTCCGCGACGGCTCTTATGGTCGACTCCTGTCGTCGTCGTCTTTGAAACCGCCGCCGCTGCTGCCGTCGTGTTCATCGTCATCGTCGTGATCCTGCCCCTCCTGCATCACCCTCTATCATTATCCTCCGTACTTTGCTCGTGCTCGGACTCATCCCATCGGCCTCTCATCCTCAACATTGCAACATTACGGCCCTTCATCGCTCTCCGCTTTCTCCTGCGCACCCTCATCCCCCTCCGTGTGCGGCGGCAGGCTCGGGTATCCCATTCCAATGTATCCTCGGGCTGATTCGGAGCTTCGGCATGACAACATGACGACGTCCTCACCTGCTGGGTCCACTGGATGCTCCTACACTTACCTGAGCAAGGCAACTCGCCCTGCGGTCACTTCTGAAAGGCCTGGTAAAGATACGCGGAAACAAACAGTAATCGATGTAAATGTGACGAGACGTCCCCTTTCTGAGAACGACCTGCCGTTAATCCATTGAGAACCTGGGACTTGTGTAAACGACACTGCGCGACACCCAAACACGACTTACATGTCAAAAAAGGACGTGCACTTCATCCGTGAAACGATTGAAAACGTTTAAGACGAATGTGGAAGCACGACACGAAAATTTTCGAAAACGTCCCGCGCTCAACCCGTGAAACACTTACTCTCACACGCAAAGGGGACATACCATGCAACACTTCATTCTCCACCCAGCGGATACGCTTGGTGGTGTGACAGAACGCACGTATGAAGAAGAGGTGTGGAGGGCGGAGGAGGATGAATGATGTCCCCATGGACCCGCGCATCCCCCAAACCTGCTGCTACTCCTAGAACGTTCCTCCGAACATCGCCCCCATCCAGAGGAGGGCGAGGAACGGACGGGAGCCAGAGAGCTTTTGGGACGTGGCATACCCCTCCTCCGAGGGAAAGAGACAAGGAATGAAGAAGCGGAGCGGACTGAGCATGGAACATGGCACTCGCATGTTATCTTTATAAACAGATGAGTACCACATTGTATGAATAGTTGAGTGCGTACTGACACGCACAAATAAGAGGGGCACAATTGTACAAACACACATACATATATATATATATATTCATATATATTCGCAACTCCACACATACAAAGAAGTATCGATTTAAAATATTTTAATTTGTACATGCAGAATCTGACGTTGGAGGGGGGCGTCAATAAGGAGGGCGGAATATCAAGAACATGTGAGAGAAAGCGGCGAAGGAGAGGGAGAGAGAGACAGGGCGAGATATAGCAAAGCAGAACGGGGAGGAGGAGGAGGAGAGAGAGAGAGGAAGAGAGGGAGGAGGGAGCGGGGGCATGAGAAAGACGCAGCGGGAGGACAATGATGAAATCACGGGGGAGGGAAGACCTAACCAATGCGAAATTGAGCACCACGGTGACGACCGTGCTGAAGAATCTGAGGGCGGCGCGGAATACCTCCGACGGCCTGCTAAAGTCAAGAACGCGGTTCATCTCGAAGACTGGTGCGACGCAAAGGATCCGCTCGCACGCTCGCAATGCCATGGGCGTGCGACGTCGTTAGAAGAAGAGAACCGGGCATAAACATCAACTTTTGGCGCTCCGCGCGGATTTCGTGGATCCGCACCGGGACCCCCCCCCGGCGCGAGCGCGCCAGTGGCGGCGCTGGAGGCGCCACGATGGGGTCCCAGCGCGGATCCAAGAAATCCACGCGGAGCGCTTGAAGTTTATGTTTATGTCGGGTTTTCTTCGCCGAGTCGTTACCAAGCCTTCGGCTGTTGTCCTGTTACTTCTGGGGTCGGCGCTGAAGGCGAGGCTTGAACAGGGTGAGGGGAAGCGCTGGGGGGGAGGGCCAAGGGCAAGGGATGGGCGAGGAGGACTACGAGGACGAGAACATGGGGGTACGAGCATGACAATCGACAGGGGGGTGGGATTGCCAAAGGGAGAGCAGCTGCGGAGAGGCGGGGCTCTAGAGCCACGACTTGCGAGCCGCGCGTGTGTATGAATAACGAAGGAGCCTCATGGTCCTGGAGGTATATACGCACATAGCTTCCCCCCAACCAGTGGTTACAATGAGAGGTTATTCCTCAGGTTTCCTGAAGAATTGGACGGGTGTGCAGATGTTTCGCCTGGTGCCCGGTGGGTGGGCGCCCGTGCGCATCTCGTGGACGACCCGTGTTAGGTTTAGGTCGTGCATGTCCTCCCACAGGAGGATTTTGGGCGAAAGCTAAAAACTAACTCTAACAAAAACCCAAAAATAGCCGACAACACTCCAGAACTCGTCCACATACTATTGATCTTTGCATTTTCCTCCTGTGGAGGGCCACGCCCGACATAATTTTGGACGCCCGACATGGGTACTGAAAAAATGGGTACGATGCCTTACAACAAATGTTGTCCTAAACCAACAGCGGCCGCTGTTGGGCAGGCGGCCTTCTGTCCCAAATGTACACAGGCCGCGGCGACACCGACAGCGAGAGTCCTGTTCGAAACGAACAGGCACCGCTGTTTGGGCATCGCACCCATTCTTTCCGTGCCCATCTCCTTCGGGCAGAGTGGAAGGCCACGCCCGACACACTGTGGGGTGGGCGTGCCGAGGCCTCGCCCGGCCCCCGCCCGTGGCCGCCCTCAATGGCGCCGGCCGCGGGCGTGCCGGCGGAGGCCTGGAATCGCCGGGCGCCCGCCGGTGGCCGCCGGATGGGCGTCTCGTGGGCGTCCCCGAGCAGCGGACGGCCGCAGAGCCGGCACGGCAGCTGGCACCACGCAGCGGCGCAGCACGAAGATTGGTGGTCTCCAAACCAGGTGGTGAGACACCCGGTGGTGACCCCGATTCCCCCCAAAAATAATTCTGCGTCACCACCGGGTTTGGGGACACGCGGTCGCCACGAGGTTTTGCGTTTCCTGGGCCAGCCAGCGCTCGAAAACCATTACCCATATCGCCCAAAACTCACCACCGGGTGTTCTCACCACCACGTTTGGGGACCACCAAGAAGAGGGGGCCGCAAGCGAGCCCTACCCTTGCACCCCGGGACGTCTGAGGGGTAGGGTGGGGTTCGCTTCGTTTGGGAGCTCCCGAGCAAAGGGAGGCCCACCCTCGCCCTCAGAAATCGTGGGGGGCAGGGGTAGGGTCCGCATGTGGCCCCCTAGCACAGGTTCTGCCATGCGGCGCTCACCACCCAGCTTGCACCACACTGCAGTGGCCCAAGGACACACAAAGAGATACACACAAACAAGAGAATTCCCAATATTCGTCAAAGTTTTTGATTGTCGTCCTCCCCTCCACTTCCCATATGTTCCTATAATTTTCTGGAAAATCAACAATGAGTTGTGTCTGTGTTTTTCCCCTCCTGACACATACATGTCTGACATTACACGTATTCCGAGTCATGGCTGATACTGGGTAGCTTGCACCACGCAGCTTGCCACACACAGCGTGCACCACGTGGTTTGTGTCAAAACTCACACCACACATAGCATGCACCACGAGGGGGAGAGGCTGAGCCGGTTGCGCTCCTAAAAGGTCTGTCCAATCTGCCCGAAATTGGTCACCAAACCCTTGCAGAAGTCATTTTGGTGCAATTTGTTTTTTCCCAAATTCGTTGTTCACTGCCCCGAGGCTTGAACACGGCCCCCGGAAACCGAAAACAGGTAACAACAACTCCTGAACCCAAAAACCTCCAAGCCCTGCCCCCCTTCCCTGCTCAGCGGAACAACTACTGGACCAGCTCACACCCCAGCCCGCTCCAAAATTGCACCGCGCGGACTGCCCCACATGGTTTCCACGACCACGGTGCAAAAAACTACCCATGTGGGGCCCACGCCCGCAAACATGCTGGGCCTCGCCGGCCAAAGCTCCGCTCGGACACCACGCGTCCCGCAACGCGAGCGCCAGTCCACTCGGGGACGCACTGAACCAGGTCAGTGTAAACCTGGACCAAAAAGGCTTCGCAGGAGCCTGCACGATCCTCCAGGATCCCGCGCGCTAATCTGGGTCAGTGCAACCGCCCTGAGATCCGACGTATCGATTAAGTGCAACATCGTAAAACAATCACTCTGAGGCCCCCCTCTTCGAGTGAGATCGATCAGCAGGAACACCGGGGCCTGAGTTTGTTGATCATCACCCGGCTCGCAAAACATCGAGACGCCAGGATCTCAGGGCGCGAATGTGCAGGACCCTGCTACATCCGGCGCTCTGGCTGACCGCTGTCCGCATCGACCCCCATCTCAAGACTCCTGGTGTCCACCCTTGGATCGAATTGGGCCATGGGACACAGAAACCAATCGACGCAATTCTCAGGATTCCATATCTGTGTTTCAAAATGCTCCAGGGTTTCGTCATCCCCTCCCTTCCGTTCTTTTGCAATACATGTTCGGGGAATCAGCAGAGGTGTGTTTGTGTTCCCGTTCTCCTCCTGAGTCTCAAGGCTTCCGAACCCCGCCCCGCATACCCATATCCCTGAGTCGCCCTGCCGGGCACTCTCCACCGCCCGTTGTGCGCCATCCGTTGACGCGCCCGCTCTACCTCTCCTCCCCCGCTGGTCGCCGAGAGGAGGATAATGACGAGGAGGCTGGCGAGGCAGAGAGAAAAGCGTGGATGGTGAGATCGATAATGCAGGCGATGCTGAGGGTGATGATGATGAGGATGGTGTCGATGATGATGATGATGATGATGATGATGACGGTAATGAGGTTGTGGATGATTATGCTCATGATGATGATGATGGTGATGCTGATGAGGTTGTGGATGGTGAGACCGACGGACATAATCATCACGATTGCGATGATGATGCTGCTGATGATGATGATGATGATGATGATGATGATGTGGATGGTGGACACGATGAGGACGTGGAGGGGGATATGATGCCGACGGTGACGATGAGGTCGATGATGGTGACAATAAAAATGGTGATGCGAACATCGACGATGGAAAACGGATGATGTTGTTGATGAACAGTGCGGTCGGGGATGCTTCAAGTGATGGCGATCACGAACTTGATGGTGATGGTGTTAACGATGGTGATACTGCTGTTGATGATGATGGTGGAACGATGCGAAGGAAGATGATGATGGGGATCGCGCAAACAAATATGATGGTAATGAGCATGATGCTGGGGACGAACATGCGGAAGACGATGGTGATTGTTACGACGATGACGATAATTCAGCGGCGGATGATGACCATGAGGAAAGCGATGATAATACATATGATAATGCTGAGAATGATGATGGTGCTGAGGAGGACGGTACTGATGATGATGATGATGCAACGCATGATGCCAGTGATGATAACGATGTGGATGAGGAGGGCAGTCGTGATGATGAGGACGATTGAAATGGTACTGGTGATGACGACGTGGATGGAAATGCTGACGACAACGGCGACGATGCCGACGTCATTCGCGAGGCTGGTGATGCCGCTGACGACGGCGGTGACGATTGTGGTGCCGTCGATGGCGATTGCGCATGGTGATTGTGATGTGGATGCTGTTAACGATGATGCTGACGCCGCTGATGGTGACGCGGATGCAGATGATGATGGTGACGGCGACGTTCATGCGGGAAATGGTGTTGATGAGGACCGCGGTGGAGAACCTGATGAGGATACTTTCGGTAAGAAATAGGAACATACCGAATCTACAAATGCTGACGACGACGATGCCAAAGATGACGATGATGGTGATGCTGCTCGTGACGGCGGTGACGATGCCGATGATGTTGGGGACTACGATGGTTAATCGTGGTTGTACGGCTGTTCTTGGCTATGCTGGTAATGATGATGCTGATGGTGCAGATGACGATGGTGATGAAAATGATGGCGCGGATGCTGATCGGAGGAGGGGGGGCGAACGAGGAGGAGGTGGAGGAACGCAGGTGCGTCGAGGATGAGTTCGTCAGCCACGTAGCTTACGACCTGCCGCGGGGTAGCGCCTGGCCGTTTGCCTGATACGCGCGTGGGCCAGGCGCGCGAGTGACACGGGGCGGCTACTCAGACAGCAAAGAGTGCGGCCGAGGGTGTCGCACGAGGAGGAGGAGGATGAACAACAAAATGAGGAACCTGACCTCGCCTGGGCATGGAACCCCTGCCCCGCCTCCGGGCCTCCCCCCCTGCCTTCGCCCTGCTGCGCCCTCCCCCCCCCAAGCTTCTGTCGACCACCCCTCTCCCCATTGGGTTCGGTCCGGGGTAATTCCTCCTGCGGGCGGGTTTTGGGCGAACAATGAAGAATGGTCAAGAATGCTTGAAAGTAGTCAAGAGAATATTTGTCCTATTCTGGGAAAGCGGCTGTTACCCGGGGGGCGGTTTGGGCATGCGGGCAGCGGTAACGGCGGCCGCGGCGTGCGCCCGCCAAGGTGCGTCCGCACCATCGGGACATCAATTGCCTGCGCGCGCTGCAAGCCCTGCGCACGCGACAATGCCCAATGCACTCGTGCAAGACAATGCTGCGTGAGTCAACGACAATGTTTCGGTATACCACGACAGTGCGAGCACAACGCCACCACGTCGCCCACGTACGCAGCGAAATCTGTATACTGCAGCAACCGGTTGCGCAACAGCCTTTGTGTGCACCGCATTGCTTGCGTGTACCAGGGCGCTTGCGCACACCGCATCGTTTGCGTGCATCACAACAAACATGTGCACCACAGCGCCCGCGCACGCCACGATGCTTCCGTGCACCACAACGCCTGTCTACATCAAAACGGGCCAATGGGCACATCATTCGCTTGCGATTTTTTATGCGGGGCCCGCCACAGACCGAGGAAACCCTCACCACGTCGCCCGCGCACACCGAAACACCTGGAGAGTAGTATCGGTGGCGCGTAATCAGCTGGGCTGGCACTCTGTAGAATCCCACCAACCCTCTGGGCGCAGGTGGTTTAACGAGATTCCTCTTCCCTCTTTGGAAAAAAAAGGAAACCCTCTTCCCCTACGGGGGGGGGGGGGACCCTCCTCCTTAACCCCCTCCCGTGGTCTCGTTTGGGGGTTCTGCGAGGTGTCAGGGCGTCCAAAACGGCCTCGGCGAGGAAACCAACATCATTGGTGTTACTATGGTGTTGGCCCCAGCTTGGCCTTTTTTTTTTTTGCGGGGGGGGCCGAACGTTAGCCCACTTCTTCGCTGGATCGATTACCTTCAAGATGACCCCAGGAGGCCTTCCAAGGCTCCCAAAAAGGCCCAAAAAGACCCCCAAACTCCTAAAAGAGCATCAAGAGAACCCCGATACCCTTGACGGTTCCTGGGAAAGGGGCCGGCATCGAGGACCCCCCATCGTTTGATCGATGCTCTCCTGGATGGCTCCGAAAATTCTCGCAGGGCGCAACCCGCAACACCAGCAAAAACAGCAACAACATCAGCAACACCACCAGCAGCAGTAACACCAGCTGGTGGCTGAAAAACTCCCACCCACCCTTTTGGGCGACATGTGGTATGGAGGAAATTGACGAATACCCCTCCACCTCCTCATCCTCAGCGTCCTCCTCTTCCCCCTTGCTCCCAAACGTTCCCCCGCTCATCCTGGTTACTCGCTTTGGTTCCCTGGATGTGTCTCTTCGCCCCATTTTTCCCGTCAGCTCTTGTGGGCGGGGCTTCTGAATGGGTTGGTGGGGATACGCGAAACGTGAAGAATTTTGGCAACACCATCCGTAGTTTGCTTCGAACGAAACGGCCAAGAGGAGATGGAGACATATATGGGGGAGGGGGGGGGAACTCGAGAGCGGGGCGGGGGAGGAGGGAGGCGGAAGGGAACCCGGGAGGTTGGAATGAGGTGGGATTTTTGGAACGGCGCATGAGCAGATACAAGGCCTACGGCCACATCGCGCCTCGGCGCGTCAGCGCGCAACGAACATGTCACGAAATTCGGCCTGCGAATGCGAGCGAAAGCCTACGAGGAGGACGAAGAGGAGCAAGGGGGAGGACGAGGCGAAGGGGCAAGAGCTCGTTGCGGATAACCCCATATGGCCCAAACGGCCGCGGACATAATCCCAATAACGCGTAGCGCAATCCAGAAGGGAAAAGGAAGGATATGAGGAGGAGGAGGAGGAGTAGGAGGGGCAGAGGACGACGGACAACGGGGGAGGATACGAGTAGGCGGTGGAGCAGGCGGGGGGAGGTAGGATTACGTTATGCCATACAACAACTGCACTCATGGCGTCGTTCGATGTCGCCTCACCTTCGTCAGCGCCAGTTGCAACAGACGCGGGTACCCCGTTGTTTCACCCAGACATGGCTGCGACATCCCTTGGCAGCATTGTTTCCAAAATTCCACCAGTATGGAGAGCAGGAAGACGTAAACCACAACAAGTCTGCGCACTGTACTAGCCTGCAGTCGCCACAACAGGCAGGTGAACGCAGGTGGGGAACCTGCAAACGCCACAACACGTTTGTGAGCACAACACATACCTTTCAGCACCACGCCATTGTCTGTGAGCACAGCGCCATACTTGCTGAGAGGGGGGGTCCGCCATCCACCCACAAAACAAAACGTAACCGGGGGTGGGGTGGGGTGGGGGGGTGGGCCCGGGTAGCAAGCGTTTTCCCTTCCCCCCCAACAAAAACAAAACATCGTACCCAGAGGCACGTGCCCGACATAACCCTTTGGCCCTCTCGTCCTCCTCTCTCCGCTGCCCCCCTCCCCCTCTGGGGCCCCCGTCGCCCCCCGCCCCTCGCACCCGCCCTCGGGGATCGACCTGCACGGTGCTGTATCCGTTCTCGTCGTGCTCTCGTCTGGCTCTCGTGCTCTTCGCTTCAGTCGGGCATGTCCCACTAAGGAGGGATATCCAAAACTGGAACAGAGAGTGTCTGTGGAGGATTTGTCTGATCTGCTTCTGCCTATGTTCAAGCACGTTTTGGCGAATTATGTTGTAATTTTCCATCCGAAATCCGCCTGTAGGAGGACATGCCCGACCTAACTCTTCGTCTTGTTCTCGCCGCGTTCTCGTCTTGCTCGTCCTCTTTGTTCTCGAACTGTTCTCGTGCTCCCCCGTCGTGTGCTCCACCCGCCTCTGTCGAGGCCTGCCCGCCCCGCTCCGCCCCGAACCCCGCGCCGATCGGGCACGCGCGAGGCGCAGGCCCGCGGGCAGGCGGGATCGGCGGCGGGAGGGTCCCCCCCCCCCCGCGTCAAGGGGCATCCCGCGGCAGCGCAATCCAGAGGGGAATAGGAAGGAGATGAGGAGGAGGAGGAGGAGGAGGAGGAAGAGGGGAAGAGGAGAAGGAGGAGGAGGAGGAGGATCCCCCCCCCCCCCCCGCGTCAAGGGGTATCCCGCGGCAGGCGTCCCAGACCCCCACGGGTCACCACAGAAAATCGCGGCGGGACGTGTTTTGCCACTGTGGGCCTCTGGGAGGGGGGGGCTTGTTTCTTGCCGGGCCCCCGGGGCCGTGACGAGGCGACCGGGGAGGGTGAAGAGCGGGCCTTGGGTTAGGTCGGGCCTGTCCCCCTACAGGGGGCCTTTGGGCGAAAAAGCTCGAAAGTAGTCAGATAAAAGTCCCCAGACTATTTTTGGGCTATTTTTGAATGTCCCTCCTGTAGAGGGACACGCCCGACCGAAGCCTTGGGGAATGGTTTTGTTCGAGGCCCGCGAGGGGGTCCACGTCGTGAAGAGGTCATGACGTCGGGCGCCTGAGGCGGGAGGCGGAAGCGGACGGGTGCCGGCTCAGCGAGGGGGGTCCCAGGTTTCGGTCGGGCACGTCCCCCTACAGGCAGGCGGGCTGCGGGCAAAGAGTTGCCACAAATCGTCAAACCAGATTCAAAACAGCAAGAAAAAATAGTCCCCAACATCGTCCCCGGACTGTGTTTTACTCCTCCTGTGGAGGGGCACGCCCAGCTGAAGCCCAGGGGAGCAAGAGAGCAGCCTCGCCCCCAAGCCTGGCCGAGCTGCCCCCCCTCCCGGGTGGGGATCTGCGAGGCTGGCCCCTCCGGGTGTCAGGAGGCGCCCGTCTCCGCCGGGGGAAGGTGCGCTGGGAAAGCTGCGTTACCCTGTCCCGGTGAGCGCCCTCCCCCTCCGCCAGGGGACCGAACAATAATATAAACATATAAACGCGGAGTTCCGCGCGGATTCTCGGATCGGCGCTGGGCCCCCCGGGCGGCGCCTCCTGCGCCGCCCCTGGCGCGCTCCGCGCGCCAGGGAAGGGGGTCCAGCGCCGATCCGAGAAATCCGCGCGGACCTCAGAGTTTTTTTATGTTGAGGTGATTTCTCGTTCCCCTATCCATCCCTCGCGCGGCCGCCCTCGTCTTCGCCCCTCCCTGCTGAACGCCAGACAATTTGCCTTTCGGTTGCTCCGACTGGCCCCACGCTGGTGCGGACTGCCTCTACCTCGCCGCCGACGGAACAAAAACCTTTCCCGGTGAGGGTCGGTCTGACGAGGGTGGACATGTCTGGCCCCCCGCGCACCTGGGTCTACAAGGAGCGCTCTGGGGAGCAGGAAGCACGGGAAGGCCATCAGGAATCCCGAACCCCGTCCGACGCCAGAGCGACTCTCTTGTTTGTCGAGCGGCCTGACTGTGCACTTCTCTGGTGCAGGCCTCCCCTAAAATTACCCATGCTCAACTTACCGCTGCTCGACCCATCTCATCGACCCATGCTCAACTTACCGCAACACTCATCCACTGAGTACATGCCCATTGTGCATTGCAACACGTACACCGCAAGTGAGAAACTTATGACCGCGTCGATATTAAAAAAAACTGAACAGCAGACGAGTTGTCGGAGGGCGAGGTGCATGTCTGAGTAAGTAGATATGTATATGTAGGAGGCAGCAGCCTGATGTATCATGTAGCTGATCACACCAGCAA